ATCCATGCCTGAAGATGAAAAAGTGGACCATCTAAATGAAAGGCATTGCAGAGGACTTGTACCAAATCCTGTCATCTCAGGATTACGACAGCATCGATCCCTTCGTGAAATACTGCCGTCATGCAGAGAGCCTTCAACGAAGACGTATTACCTAACCTCGATTCTAGAAGATACCTAATGTCTCTGAGGTTTCGGTAGATGCAGATGTCGGTTAGCATAAGTTCTATACTGCATGCCTTCGTTAAGGAAGTGCTTCCAAAGGTCCTTCCACAAGTTCAGAGATGCACGGAAGTAGAACTGGAGCTACCGAATGCCATAACATTTGTAGTCTGGGAGGAGATTATGAAGGCTTTATCATAACTCGCAGCAGCAGAAAGAAGCAAAAACACTATCCAACATTCTGTTCCAGTTAGGCCGCAGCCAAGACATGAAGCCAGCAATAGAGCTGCTCCACAACGTAGAACAGCTCTGTGGAGGACTGACGATAATGTGCCCCTCTGTTATTATCGTGGATGCCCAGGACATGTTCTGAGGTACTGTAGGCACAGACGTTAAACATTTGAAAATGCAATAGCTGCCAGGACATCCAACCCTTGACGGAACAGGGACACTGACTCTGCATACAACATTGATGACAAATATGCACAGCCTACTTCTTTCCAAATAAGGAAAAGTGCACCTTATTTGCAACGCTCTCTCAATCGCTGACAGTCGCAATCACCAGTGCGCTGCTCCACTTGGTCTCTACACCGAACCAATGAGAAAAACTAGCTCAAGTGACCTGTGCAGGAGGTAAGCCCGCTAGTGAAGAAAATCCTCCAACATTCACCACAAACAAGTTAAAAAAAAATACCACCTTTATCATTGTGAACAGACAGTTTGTAAAAGTCCTTGTTGATTTGGGTGCTGATTATTCAGTCATATCTGAAGAATTAGGCCGACAACTGAATGCTCCTACGTTTACTGAGAATGGACCTACACTGAAAACTGCTTGTGGTAAAGCTGTAGCCACTTCGAGACGAAGTATATTAAAAGTTGATTTGAATAGGATGAAGAGGCTGTTTGAATTCCTTGTGTTTCCATAATGTAGAAATCAAGATAATTGGACATTTCACTGACACTGATGCCATTATTGATTTTGGGAATCAAGAATTTCAGCTAGTAGAAATCCATCCAAACAATGAATGTTTAAATAAATCAAAGTGCTCCTTGTTTGCTGCAACAGATTATTTAATCAAAGCAAACTCCACAAGGCAAATATGTGCCCTGATTCCGTTACTACGGGAAGCAGATGGAGCTATAATTGTTGGAAATAAATTTCTGATCAATGAAAGAGAGCTATCGATACCAGCTTCAACTGTTACCATAGAGAAACAGTTGTAGTAAATGGCTGATCTTTGGAATATGGTAACAGGTAGCTTGGCGACATTTTGGAGGCGATAAAGGTTACTACCTAGGAGTTTGGGAATAATGTGAGAAGAATTCTGTTCCGATTACGCATTATTTTGTGTGAGGGAAATGAGAGATCATGAGATATGTCATGTGACATTAATGGACGAATCACTGTTCTTTAATCGGAAAAAAAAGGGGGGTAAATTTGTAAAAAATATCTGCTGTACAGCATTAGTTTCATTCTATGTTCTGTGAAAAACAGTGTTGTTTAATATTCGGATCCCATGGCCCATATAAAGTAAATCCGAAATTTTTATTGTGTTTATGTGTAATTGAAAAAGAATTGCTTAATTGCGGGATAAGTAGAATGTCCAACATGTGGGTATGAAATGAGATTGTGTGAAAGGAAGGATATTACAGATAAGTTTGAATGGCCAGTGCAAGAAATCTGGTGAAAATGGACATTTGGTGATCCGCCATGCACTCAAGATTCTGTAGAAGATAAGTTAGTATTTTTAATTATTTGAGGATATTATTTTTATGCATGTTCTAAATGTAAGGAGTAAATAAATTAATATGGTATTATATTATTGGAAAATTGTTATTAGCAATGATTTAGTTTAAAGTAATTAGGATTGTAAGCTAATTTTTATTAATTTAATGTATGTGCTTATTTATATTTAAGTAGTGTTTTTTAATTTAATTATATTTTTTTTAATGATCATGATTTTGAGAGTTATATGTTTGTAGTATTTTGGAATACGTTTGAGTTAGAAGTAAATGTGCATGGAAAGAATTTAAGTATTTGACACTAGTATTTGGAACCATTTTTAATGTTTGCGTTAGAAATTGGTAGGTGAGGTTTATAATAGATAATTTAGAGGGAAAAGTTTTTGGATATTTTATTTATTTTATATGTGCAAATGTTCATCCTTGGAAAGGGTATATACTTTTTTGCGATCAGGTAATTTCATATATGTCCTTTTTACCGAATTTAAAGATTCACAAAATTTTTATGCATTTTCGTGAAATTTTTCTAATTTATGAGAAAAAAGCAGTGTACATGGATATAGTGAAGAGTGTGCGCAATGCCATTTTTGTGCAATTCTGGGATGTTTTTTTAAGTAAAAATAAGTCGACGTGTACATGGTTTAATTATATTTTAGTTAAATGATAGTTATTTTGTGAATTATATGTTTGTAGCAATTTGGTATACATTAGAGTGGAAGTAAACATGCATGGAAATAATTTAAATATTTGAGACTAAGTATTTGTAACCATTTTTAATGTTTTGTTATAGATTTGTCGGTGACGTTTATAATAGATAATTTAGAGGGAAAAGTTTTTGGATATTTTATTTATATTTTACGTGGAAATGGAAATTTCATCCTTGGATAGGGTATATAATTTTTCGCGATCAGGTAATTTCATACATGTGCCTTTTTACCGACTTCAAAGATTCACAAAATTTTCCTGCATTTTCGTGCAAATTTTTTGTAATTATGAGAAGAAAACAAGTTTAGATGGATAAAGTCAAGAGTGTGCGCAATGCCATTTTTGTGCAATCTGGGTTGTTTTTTAAGTAAAAATAAGTCGACGTGTACATGGTTACTGTGTATGTGCGATTTTGAAAAAATGCGGCAAGGAGTTTGCGATTCTGCACTTTTTCCAATTTTTGCAGTTAATATTTGTCATGATTTAAGTAGTTTGTTCCATAAAATTTCTAGCATAAGTGTAATTTGGCTAGTAGATTTGGAAAAAGTGTTGAGTAAATAAAAAGAAAAGAAACATGTCTTTACTTCGTGAAGACAAAGTGGCGGCGAAAAAAAAACAGAGGGTTGCTGTAGCAGAGTTGGTCGCCAAAAAATCGCCAAGTTACCATAATCCAAAGATCAACCAAAATTGTTTCTAAGTGCTTATTAGCTAAAATCCCGATTGGAATTTTCCGGAAAATGTCACATTACATGTCGCATTATCTCATGGTTTATGTGTATGTGTTATTTTGAAAAACGCGTAAGGAGTATGGTATTGTGCACTTTTTCCCAATTTTGCAGTGAATATTTGTCATGATTAAGCAGTTTTGTTGATAAAATTTCTAGCATAAAGTGTAATTCGGCTAGTAGATTGTTGGAAGAAAGTGTTCAGTAGATAAAAAGAAAGAAGGAAACATGTCTTTTACTTCGTGAAGACAAAATGGCGGCGGGGAAAAAAAAAAATAGAGGGTGCTGTAGGAGAGTTGGTTGCCAAATTTTCGCCAAAAAAATCACCTAGTTACCATAATGTAAAGATCAACTATATATCAATATATTAAGCATATGGTAGTAAAAATTCACAGATAATAAGCATGTAGATGTAAAACTAACTGGTTTTAAACGTGATATACGAAAATAAAATTGGTATTTAAATTCAAGTTAGCACAGAAAAGAATATATTAAGGATAAGACAATATATAAGCATTTATAACGGAAATAAAAATTATTTAAAAAATATAAATTAGTATTAATATACTGAAAATAACAGGTTAAACGTGATACAAAAAAAAAAATTGTCTTGAATTCCAGTTAACACAGAAAACAATATATTCCTTACATCAGCTGTGACCATGGTGATGCATCAAACTATTCGGTCATCTTTAAATAATCAATAATATTTTTTATTTCAATTTAATCATCTATTTATGTCACACCTGCCATCCTCTGAAAGGTTATTGTTAAAAAAGCATTAACAATATATTATCTTGTTAAAATTTTACGCCATAAAATTGATTTATTCTCATAATTTTAGATGACAGTAACCAATATAATAAAAATAAAAAGCATTACTTAATTATTTAAAATGCACATGCACATTTTTGCGGCCTACGAAAACAAATTATTTTAGAGGTAGGAAACCTCATGGTCTTAGAGCTGTTAATAATTAAAACACAACGTGAACAGCCGTGTTACAAATTGGCATTCACCCCTCCCGCCGTATTTTCTTCCTTTCATCCCGAGCCGAGAATCGGCATCTATCTATTCGTTGTTAAAAAATTTAGAGAAAATAATAATAAATAAGAGAAGAAGAATATAAATCTGCAAATGCGAACAACGGCAGTGATAATTCAACAAAATGAACACAAGAGGAATGGTTAAAAATTCGAACAAGCAAATAGGATAATCTGATGGGTTACCAGGTTTGAACTATTATCGCCAAAGTTGGCGATGTTTACATTTATCGGGTTCTCTGGGGAAGTGCTTCCCCACTCTACAAAATGTTTATCACAAAAAATTACATTTTTAAAGAAAATATCATCGCGTAGATAAATACTAATAATACAATTGCTAAAATGAATAAACATTATTTAACGCTTGTTTTTCTCAGCTTTTTCTTTTGAAATAAGAAACGCTTTATATAACATATGGCCTTATTACATCTTCAATAGACATTAAATATCTTTCTTTACGGAATTTTTTTCACAGTATGCCAGAAAAGATATGTTTAAATAATCTATTAAAAACAAAACTACGCAATGTGTATAAAATTCCACACAAACGTTATTTTAGAATTATATCTCACTGATCTTCACTATAAGCATATTGCACAAGTATTAAATAAATGCAAATGTTTACTCTGAAGCCCAAGGTTTTGCAGCTAGCAGATCTTGTTGTTGTTTTCCGTCAAAACGGTAAATATCATCATTAGCTTCCATTGCGTTACTGAGAATGGTAAATGTTAAAAATATTTAACTTCGCGTAGAGGTTTAACTTCAGCGCTTAACGTACGTCAAATACACTAACAATGGAACAACAGCTATTCGAATACAGTGCGAGGACTACAGATGACTGAGTGTTACATCAGGCATCAGTGACCATCCGCTAAAGGATATAGTCCTAAAGAAAATCCTTAGTAATTTATTATAATAAAACTAATTCATCTGAATAGTTGGATTATAATGATACAAGATATGTATATTGTGTCAACAAGGCCTCAAATTCAAATGATTTCCTTTGAAATTCACACTTTGGCGTTTAAAACGAAATCTGTCAAAACATAAGCAGATCGATCAATATAAATTATCTCTCTTTACCGTCTATCTATGCCGTCATTGGTTGACCGTGCACACCCCAGCCCACCTCCACAATATTTCTTCCACACCCGCTCTTTTTAGTGGACTTTACCAGCCGGCAAACGTCAAAAGGATCTGGTTGGGATTTGAGACTGACAGACGTAGTGTACAATATTGTTATGTGGTTAGACCAGGGGTCGGCAACCTTTTGAGTCGGAAGAGTCAAAAATTACAATTTACAAAATTTGAAAGTTTTTAAAGAGCCACCAAATGTTTTCTTGCCAACAATAAATAGTACTCGCATGAATAAAGTTTTTTGATAAACAAAAAACTATCTATTTATTCATAAGAAAAAAATATCTATTTATTCATAAGAAAAATATAAAAAATATAAATAGTGTTATTCATATATAAATAGTGTTTTTCACAACAAATTAGATAATATATATATGGCATTAGTAAACAATTATTATTTAAGTAAAAAATTAAAACAATTAAACATTTACTTACAACACTAACTTGTACTTCAATAAAAAAAAAAAAAAAATTGAGTCAACAAATTCAATGGGAGCGATGGCTTTGCATACAATAACGTACATTTGAGCAAACAAATTCGATGGGAGCGTTGGCTTTGTATAGTTTTAGAAAGTTTGGATAAATTTGGCTCATAACTGGTTGTTTTAAGTTTCAAACAGGACTTTAAATTTTTATTTGTTAGTTGGCTTCTTACTGTACTTTTAATTATATTCATGCAAGAGAATGCTTGCTCGCAAAAATATGTCGATCCGAAGATAGTCAGCACTCCAAATGCCTACTTCTTCACCTCACTGTAGCAATCTGGAAGACTATTCCATGAGTCGAATATAAGTGCCTCAACTCGCGGCATTTCTTTTAAAGCTGACCACTTTTGTTGCATTACTAGCATTTATTTCTGGACATCCAACTATTCCAACTTGCTTTTCAACTCTGTAAATTTTCCACTCCACAAAGCTTTACTTTTTAAATCGATCAATTGCATTTCTAGAGATTCAGTATCAATTCCAAATGGCTCATTGTGGATTTTGTTACCGTTTCCGTTGAGAGGATTTACTATAAATGCTAGAGTGATTTTGTTGGTTTTGAATTGCTCAAATCTGTCAGCAAATTCATCTTTAATTTTTTTATAACTGTGCTGAAAGTGCTGAAGTAATTTGTGTCAACAGTTGCACTGGTTTTATCGGCGATATTGCCTTTAGAAATTGAAAATGAATGTAATTTACCGCTCTGAATATCTTCTTGCAAAAAAAAGAATTAATTTTTTTTTCAAAACAAACCAATTATTCTACCAAAACATAGGCTAGGGTTTCTCCTTTCCTTGCAATTTTAGATTCAGCTCATTTCATTTCGCTGTGACACATCCACCATATAGTAAGTAAAATTTTGCAACCATTGTGTCGTTCTCTAATTCAGGGTGATTAATGCCTTTTTCATTTAGGAATGTATTTATTCATTCAAGCACAAAGCAACAGAACGTTTCAAACCTTTCATTTGGATAGCCATCGCACTTATTGTGATGAAGAAGGAGGTCGGAATACTAAGTCTCCATTTCGTTTAAGAGTTCTTTAAACTGACGATGGTACAGTGCTTTTGACAAGATGCTGTTAACAATCTTGATTACCAAATTCATGACCTCAACTATTTCGGGCGGAAATGTTTGTGCACAAAGCGCTTCTTAGTGTATTATGCAGTGAAACGTAACAATTCCGTGGTTTATTTTGCTCTGAAGAATCGTTGTTGCCCCTTTATTTTTTCCTGTCATACTTCTGGCTCCATCAATTGCTATTGAAACGATTTTATTTAAATCGATCTTATTGTCATTCTAGGCATTTTTGCACTGCATTCGCTATATCTTCCCCTCTATTTTGTCTCGAGAGAGCGGTAGCAATCCCATAAGTTCTTCTTTCGGATCTTGGGAAAGCATATACCTGACAAAAAGGGCAACTTGGTGCCGTGTCTTTTATGTCGCAAGACTCATCTATAGCAAATGATAAGGCAGAAGAAAGCTGAATATCTTCCACCTGCAAATATATTACATTTGAAGACATTTTAGCTATTCTATCTTGTACTGTTTTAGCGGATAGTGGCAAAATCTTTGATGATTTTTTTCAAGACTTCTGGTTTGTTTTTGAAATCACAAAACAGTTCTTCAGATGCACGTGTGAAGCAATCTTTGACATACTCACCATCTGAGAATGGTTTTCCTTTTTATTTGCAATTTCTAATGATACCGCAAAGCATGCCAGATTAACATTACTTGTAGATTGCGTCCAGTTACTTACATGGAACTTGATTGCTGTTTTTGTTTTTGGAGCTCATCTACAGCTTTCTTTCGTTCTTCGCTGGCTGGATATTTACTAGCAAACTGAGTATGTTTTTTAGTGAAGTGTCTCTCTAAATTTGATTTCTTATTGTGTGCGAGTTTTTCGAAGCAAATGAGACAAGTCGTAAGGCCATATCAATTGCATATGAAAGCGAACAACTGAGTCCAATCTCGATTGAATTCTCTATGCTCTTCTTCAGTTCTTCTCTTTTTTTTTTTTTTTTTTTTTTTATAAAATAAGGAATATTTGCGTATGGAACTAAAGAGCCGCAGCTTCACATCCAAAGAGCCGCAAGTTGCCGACCCCTGGGTTAGACCGAAAGCAAAAAAACTGAAGATGCTTCTTCTTCTCAAATGGATTTTCTTCTTCTTTCACGCTTCCTCAATGGATTTCCCCTCTCTGTAAAATCTCTCGGTAAATGAGAGGAAGAAAAGAAGGATTTTAAATTCAAAGTGCATAGGCCACATGATTATTTTGGCATTGTGTACTGCAGTTCTCAGAGTGCATCAGAAAATAAAACTGAATTTTTTTTTTTTTTTTTTTTTTAAGTCCTTGTGACTCTATAAATCTTTCGTTCATACTAATTCAAATCACAAAAGATTTCGAAGTAAATTAAGCTAGAAGACGCAAATGAAACTTTTAAATAATTCATGTAATAATTAAATATCTTACGCACAAAGTTTTAGGGAAAAAAATTCAAATTTTAAATAGTAAAGGAGATGCTCAATAAAATACTTAGCGTGTAAGATGCTCTTGCTTTCACAACGAAAGTGGAAGGCTTAGTGAAAATTAACCGAGATTACCTCATTGGGAAAAACAAGCTAACTCGATTCTAACTTGCTTGCTGTTTCCCCCTTTAGTATAATAACTCTTACTTTCGTCAAATTTGAACCGAAAGTAAAGATTCACCTGTTAGTCGCCTAGTGTTGAAGGTGCGCGTTTTCTGAGCTTCTACCTGTGCAATGGATTCTGATTCACACAGATCGTATTTTATTCTCGAGTCTCAAGATGCAGAAACATCTTTTTACTCGGCTTCTGATAACAATCTAGAAACACGAGGCAGATGAGGATGATTTCCTTGCGTTAACCTTGTGTCGTTCTCGCTGCCTCTGCTCGGGCGAATTTGGATAGGAACTTTATTACCGGTTCTCTGACTGCAAATACCAGTGGATCTAGTTCAAATTATGCACGTGTAATTGCAGACTGGGGCTTTGCTTGTGATTTAGAGAACTTTGATGTTGCACAAGGTAAAATTACTAAACTAAAACATCAACGCGATATTGTGAAAAGTACTCTGCACGAAAGGTGGGCTAAAAGATCTGTATTGAACTGAATAATTTCACTATGAGATTTCTTGATGGAATAAAGCGGTTCAACAGACAAATCTCCGAATTAGAAGGTAAGTGCAATTTATACCTAGCATGTCGTTTCAAATTAAACTCTGATAACTGTAATGATGGTACCTAAGTGTACCTAATTCTGTTGCACGTGGTCTAGAACGCATATAAGCATTCTGTACCCCACCACGCACATAGAGAAAAATCCCTGCTCATGATTGGATATGGCTTTCGATCAGTGCTTAAATTGCGCCGGTGCTTCTAAATTTTTAAAATAAATTACAATTCTAGCGGGAGCGCACCGGAGCCCTAAATAAGATGAGCTCCGGTACTTCTTTTTATAAAACTGAACCACGATTTCAAGCGAAAAAAATTAGAACTCCTAACGTTTTATTTTAAAAATAAGCAGACTTTGCAATACTCTATTTTCCTAGAAATACGAACTCATGAGAACATCATGAGACATTCAAGTAAAGTCCCCTCACATGCGGAAACCTTTCCCTTCAAGAAGAGCAATAAATTTGGGGGAGTTTACTTAGGAACGCGTAAATTTCTTGCCATGCCATCGTATCTAGGGTATTGTTATTGATGGTTAGTTAGCATCGCAGGAAGGAAAATTTGTGTTCTTAAATGTTCGTTAAGTGACAGCGAGTACAATAACAGTGAAATACCGAGATAAACTGCTCAAGCACGTCCGATACATCGTCTTCCCACAGTATCCACTAATGTAACCAAATACGGGAGGGGCGCGAAAAGTGTAACCAGCAAATTTACATTCAGCCTTAGGAGTCAGATTCAGGACTCATTTTACCTCTAACACACATCCGCTTGACAGACAGAAAGACATTTATAGCCATCAACAGAAGTTGATGGCTATAAATATATCAGCAGAGAGCCGCGGTCAAAGAGAACGTTCTCTCTCACCAAGATTCCCCTCATTTTTTGTTTCCACTCATTCATACCCTCACGCCCTCATTCTGTTTCACCCTGTTTTTAGTCAAAAGTCGTTAATTCGGACACCCATAATCCGGAATGATCTATAACCCGGACATCAAAGCTAAAAACGTTCTGCGCATGCGCTGCGTTGACACATGCGCATAGGCGTTTACGCGTGCGCGTAAGACCTTTATGACTGCGCATATGCGTCTGAACAAGCGCAGAATACGTTTTCGCGTGCGCGTTTTATGTATAACGGACGGTATAAGCTAAAATTATCTAATTATCTATTTCAGTTAATGTTGATGATTGCGTTGTTCCTTAATCTTCGAATTGGATC